TTTTGATTTCAATATGAAACTCATTTTTCACTATTATCTCAAGTTGTCAAGATATTTGGCTTCAAATTTTTAGCATTTGGGTTTAAATTCCTAAAGCTGTCACAAAAAAAAAATCATTCAAATGATCATTCAAAAAAAAATCATTCATGTAAACCTCTTTAAAAATATGCTTATTTTGAGACCCAGTTTTACATAATTTTGAATAATTTTTTTTTCGACAATATTAGGGGTTTTACACCAAAAGTTAAAGATTTGAAGACAAAATCTTTACAACTTGAGATAATGGTGCTTTTTTTTACGTTGCTTTTGCTTACAAAAAACGCCATAAAAAAGAAACAACAAAAAAAAAAAAAAACAATTTTGTTGACCTGTGAAATATGCAATGAAATAGACTATATGCATAAATAAATATACTCAAAAATAAATAAGCTAAAAATAAAAAAGATTGAGTCCTGAAGTTTAAAAGGGAATTTGTTAGGTTTTTAGGTATATTTTTAGTATTGAGTTTTTGGATGGGTTTTTAGGTTTTTTTTATGGTGTTGGTTTTTTGGAGACATGCTAGTTATTTAGTAAAATGAATGTTTACATATATTGAAATAATGTAGATATTAAAGACAATTTCCAAACTTTTTTCGATGTTTTACCCAAAACTTGTGGAAGTTTAAAATAGTTAAAACATTTATAAATAAAATATTAAGCTTACTTAAAAAAATTACTTTGTAATAAGTTACATTTAATTTTGAAATTAACGTTTGTTATAACATTTGTTTCCTAAATTTGATAACAAAACGTATGTTGACCCTGTTCAATACGGCTCATCAATGCGGCTCATCAATTTGGCTCAATCACAAATTACATTGATGCATTTTTGAGAAGCAGTTATTTTATTTGTATTTTTATATTATTGTATATATATATATATATATATATATATATATATAAATATATATATATATATATATATATATATATATATATATATATATATATATATATATATATATATATATATATAAATATATAAAAGCAAATAAATTGATTATTTTATTTATGCAAATGCAACAAGCAAGATAAATATTAAAATGAAAAGTTTATTTAAAAAGTTATATTTAAAACAAAAACTATTTATTTATTTATTTACAGTGCAGAAATTTAATTTATTAACACTCGGAGAGATGTTTTTACGACCCCTAGATTATTTTAGTCTTACATAACAGTTTGCCTCAAGGAATTATTTTTTAGTAATCTCTGTTTAAGCCTGTATTTGTTTGATTGATTTTTCTAGATTTGAACAAAAAACGCAAAAATATAATGTCAATATTTGTTATCAATAATTTGGTGCAAATCGCTCTATGTCTACTTACTAATCAGTTTAACAAAGCGCTCTCTAATCCCTTACTAAACAAATAGACAATTGTTTGCCTAGACAATTTAACTGTTTGGGAAAACAAATTTTTTTAAAGCAAAAAAGCTTGTTTAAAAAAAAAAAAAAATTAATTTCTCACTACAAATTAAACATGTTGAATTATGTTTTTCTACATCCCTAAATTTAAGATCCTTAACTACGATTTTAATAGGGCATTAACGCACACCCAAAATCGGATAAGAATGAGCGGGATATTTGGGTGGCTTTAAACACTTCCTTATATTTGAACTTTTTAGATTATTGTTAGAAATAAAATACGTTTAAATAAGGGGAAGATACTTATAATGATACAAACAGATAACAAGAAATTTATTTTTTTAATTTATTTTTATTGATTTTATTAAATTTTTTTTATATTTTTGCTCTAAAATGTAAAAACGTAAATTAAATTTATTTAAAAAAAAGTTTATTTAAAAAAGACGCGTAATTAAAAAGCTCGTTTTTTTATAACAATATTTACAAACCTATCTTACATAAAAACAAAGCATCAATCATCACTACCCTCTGAGACATCAATTGACGCATACAAGCTGCAAATGAAGTTGGTAAGTCAAATTCGTAGTGATCGTCATTATCATACAAGGATACGCAACACTGGAAGTTATATGATTAATATCAATAAGTTGATAAAAACATCTACTTTATGTGCACTAACTTTTATGATGTTTGTAAACACAATTAATAAGAAATTGCTTGACAAATAACATGACTGCTCGAAGCACATTGCTCTTGGCGGTAAGAAAATTATGAGAGCAACCACGATTTTACACAACATCTACAATTTAGTAATTTTTGATAGGTTTAGAGAAGATTTCTAGAAAAATTTCTAGAGCAAGAGAAAACAAAAGGAATACATTTATTTATTTTACTTTTACTCTTTGCTATATATACTATAGTTTATTAATTTGCTTTAGTTTTTTGTAGATTGAAACAGAACAATAATTAACAAAGTATATCCTGCAATGGTTATTATATTTCATTAGCAAAAAATAGTCTTAAACTAAAACTAAATTTTAATAAGACATACGAACAAACATGCAGTACCTTAAGACTTCTTTTTTACATGTTTTACTTTTACTAATTATTCAAACATTTGGACCTCAAGAAACGTTTTTATACCTCATCTAGAAATGTTTTATTCAAACATTTGGACATCCGCTTTTCGAACAACCAGAACCAACTTGTCTAATTGTCAGCATGAAATACATACAAGCAAACAAGTTGAAAAAAAATATTTTATCTTCACCGAATGACAGAAAAAGAGTTGCTGAATGTGTTGAGTGAAATGACAATTGGGTGACTCTGGCGCAAAATTTAGAGATCAAATAAAGTTAGCTTCACTTGGTTTGCAAACTTGGTTTACAGCAAAAATAAGAATTTATCGTATATAAAAATTCATCGTAACAGACATCATGCTTGTTTGCAAAGAGTATTTGAGAATTCTCCAGCTCAATTGTTACGTTTAAGACCCTACAGTCCAATGTTAAACCTGGTGGAAACAATCTAGTCTAACATAAAACGTAAAAAAGTAACGTAAAAAATGCGATTCGCATTCCATCTGTATTCGGTTCTGGAATTGTGGAACAACGAATGCGGTATTTGGAAAGAATTGTTACTGCGATAAAAAGTGCAATAATAGGAGGTGATTGTGCACGTGCTGCTTCACATACTACAAAGCATTACGCAACAATTTTAAATATGGAACATGTCCAAGTTGGTGTTTAATTGATTATTGCAATGATTTTTTAAATTCAGTTTAAATCTTTATATTTTTTGTAAATAAATTATTTGCGTTTTATTTATTATTCATCTGACTTGTTAATTTTTCACAAACAAACAAAAAAGAATGTTCTAATAAACACCCAATAGGATTTTTCGAGTTACCGCCAAAAAAGCATTTGGCGGTAACTCGAAAAATCCTATTGGGTGTTAATTAGAAAAAATCGTAAGATGTATTTGAGAACATACTAGTTGTAATTAAGATAATATAGAACAAAGAATCATATAGAACAAAACTCTTTGTATTTTTAATTTTGTTGCCTTAATTTACCTTGTAATTTAAGGTTGGTTCCTAATTTGGCCAAGATGGCTGTAAAGGTTGGTTTTCAATGAATAATAACATGCTATCAATAAGGCTTATTGATAGCATGTTATTATTCATTGAAAACCAACCTTTACAACCATCTTGGCCAAATTAGGAACTAACATTAAATAATATAGTTAGGAACAAAATTAGGAACTAACCTTAAATAATATAAAAATAAAGTTTTTTACGGTGTTCTCTTTCGTAAAAGCCGGTCGTTTGGCAATCACGGAGTACCTAAATAACTAAAAAAATGTATATATATATATATATATATATATATATATATATATGTATATAAATACATATATAAATATATGTATATTTAAATATGTATTTATATACATATATAAATGTATATACATATTTATACATAGTGTATATACATAGTGCAAGTGTATATGCGTGTGTGTAAACACACACAATATGCGTGTGTGTAAACACACACGCATGTCTATAAACATATGGTATATAGAAAATATAATAAAACTTTTATAGAAACTCGAACAATTTGTATAAAATTGCTATCGAAAACTTTTATTTCTATATAAACGTATGTAGAAAAAAATCAAATTTGTAAAGAGACTTTTATTAAAAGCAATTTATATACAAATGAATAGTTCCGATACAAATTCAACTCAATTTTCTATAGACTCATATATTTCAAAAGTTTATAGAAATTTTATTTAACTTTCTTTCAACACATACACCATCCTAGATTGGTTTTGTCAAAAAAAATAATCACACTTTTCTGGATATTCAACCATAAATGATGGGGAAATACACACCAGACAGCGAGCAACCAGTGAAGACAAAGGGGCACCATCCTAGATTGGTTGTAAAAAAACAAAAAACAAAAACAAAAAAAAAATTAAGAATAAATATGGCCAACCAAATACAACATCTTACCCATTCACGACTTAGCAAAACCGCTATTAGAAAGAACCACCTCAACTTAATTTCGTAGTCAAATTTAGAAGTTAAAAAAAATAAAAAATACTGAGATAACGCAGAAAAATGTTGCAAAATACCGGAATAAAATATATCTCATATTAAAATGTTATTGCATATGTATTATTATAAGGAGAAAACTGATATGGAAAAAGCATTTTAACTAGTTTTGATTTTACTTAGAGCATTTGAACAGTTGAAGTTTTGCAAATTTACCATTCGAAATGCAGTCAACTGTCATTTACCAGCCGTTTATATCGATCGTACTTAAGAATGGTTTCCATTTGGCTATAATTTCTTATTTTAAATTTTGCACATTTTTCGTGATTAATTTATTCATGAATAATTGTTAGATGTTTTTAAATTTGATTTGTATTTTTATATATTGAAATAGTCTAAAAAGTTTCCTTTATTTAAGTTTCAATTCTCCTTAAAATAGAATTTCAAAAAAACAAAATATAGTATAGAAACCAATCTTAATCAAGGTTTTAATTTACAGAACACGAAGTTTGAGTATGATATTCACTTTCGGAATTAATATGAATTTTAAAAAATTATAACAGCAAAAAAAAAAAAAAAAAAAAGAAAAAAGAAAGAATTTTTCTTTTTAAGGAGAAAAATTTAATGACTGTTTTTATATGGCTGCTTCCTGGCTTTTTAATGCTATATATTTTTAAGGTAAAAGTATAAATGAAGCTTTTAGTATGAAAGATGGCAAAAGGCACTCCAAGGTATTTTTTATGTTTAAATGATATTTTTATTTGTCATTCGGATTCCATAATTGGGAAAGTTAAAATAGTATTGAATTGACTCTAAAAAAAAATTTAGGATTTGCATCAGAAACGGTAAATACCTAAAGCCGCCTCTGGCCATCCTTGGTATTTTGTTGATACTAAAAAGCTCATATAATCTGAAAACAGATTTTTTTAAACAGATATTTAACCTATTTTAATCTAAAGTTTAAGATAAGTAACGTAGACAAAATCCAATTAAACTGTGTTAAACTAAAACGAAGTAAAATAAGTTTAATATCCCTCAACATTGACAAATAAAATATCAAGCTCATATCATATCATATATATATATATATATATATATATATATATATATATATATATATATATATATATATATATATATATATATATATATATATATATATATATATATATATATATATATATATATATATATATATACATTTCCTTGTAACAGCAGGCAATAAGATAGTCGATGATGCAGTACTCCCTTGTAGCAGCAGGCTATAGGATAGTTGATGTAGTAGCAGTTTAGCAGGTTTAGTTTTTAATAGAGCACATCTAATATCTGAATTGATATCGAGCATATTTCTTTTTTAGTATTAAGAGATAGTATGACTGAAAACCATGCTTCACACAAATATGATGTTGAAAAAAGAATAACCCAGTGGGCACGCATTGTCCGGGGGACGTCCGTCGGACGTCTCATGGACGTTCAAACGTCCGTAAGACTCTGAGGGACGTCCCTCGGACGACGCATGTCACTGGGAAGGGCTTTAAATACAACTAATGAACACATTGGATATGAATTCCCCATTTTCAACCAGAAATTATTTAATGGTGTTATTTTGAAGTGATCCTTAGCCGTGGTATCATTCATTATCTTTATAAACTCTTTTGATCTAAGAAAGATAGTGGAAGTAAGAGTTAGTCCTAGAAGATGAAGGGTAGTTAACTCATCGAGTACATTACCGTTCATAAATAGAAAAATTGAGTTTTATCTGAGTTAAAATTCACCAGTCACTGAGCAGAGCTGCTGTAGCAGAGGTAAGATCCTTTTCAAGCTCAATTTATTGATGAATACTAAAGTCAAATATAGGCTAACTGACATTAGCCTTCGTTTGACTATAATTTTTGATAAAGATATACTATCTATCTTCTTTACAGCTTCTTCTCCAAATAATAATCTAACGATTTCTTTTTTACGTGGAAGTATAAATTCTTCAGCCAATGTGTGAGTTTTTTTTGTTCTGTGCTATTACATGTGAAACCTTTTAAGATGTTTCTACAATATTTTGTTGAGTTTAATGAATAATCCCAGTTTTATCCAACTTATATCTCTTCAGTGATTCAAATTTTACATTGAAAAAATTAATCTTTTGTTTAAAGACCAAACTTTTTTAAGTGAACAGCAAGCTTTGAGGGTTTCATAGAGTCATTTCCTGGTACTTTAAAACAAACTCTTTAACACACTGTGGGTAGCTAATGGTTTCTTTAAGTATGTAGGTAAAACCATGTCTCGTATATTCACCTGAATATAACCTTTTAAATATCTAAAGTATTTAAAAAATAATATAAAAAGTATCTATAATATAAATATTCATTTGAGGTAAGAGTATTAGTATATTATCGAACTTTCATGGAAAATAACTTACTTACACAAATTACTTTCTTTCAAACAAATCAGTTAAACAAAGTATTTTGATTATAAGATAAGATATAATTTAAATTTTAAACAACATTAAAAGTGTGCAAAAAAAAAAAAAAAAAGATTACTAGAGAGTAAAATAATTCAGTGCAACACAATGGTATCATTTTTTATAGTTACGAAAAGTAAAAAAAATTGTTCTTACAGGTTCGGCACTGTAAGAACAATTTTTTTCACTCTCCTTCGTAAAAGCCTGACATCTGGCAACCCTATGGATGAAAGAATATTATAGAGAAAAACTGGGTTAAACCGCACACAAGGCCGGCGCGATAGGGGTGTGTGGGGATGTAACACTCCCCCCCCCCCATCAATGATTTTAAGTCGGCAAATTTGACCCTTAGTCGGCAAATGTGACCCTTTTTGACTAGTTAGTCGGACCCTGTCGATAGGTTAGTCGGTAAAGTCAGTCGGCAAATGTTGTTACGGCAGTCGGTAAATTTTAAAAAACGAGGACTTTTTTTTTTTTATATAAGACGGCAAAAGTTGTAATGCCACCCCCCCCCCCCCACGTGAAGTTTTTTAATTTTTTTTATTTGATAGGTAATAAAAAACTACATAAGATTATATAAATATATATTTAAAAAATAATAATAAAATTATCAAAAGAATTAAATGTAAAGAAAAAAAGTCGTGCGGTTCTACTCAACGTAGATCTGACGAACAATATCGCGTTTAGACTCTTTCGTTTTCAAAAAATTCCGTTTTGATTTGTGTGTGTTCTCATTGCACATAGGCATGGAATTACCATTAAGGTAAAAAAAAATTTCCTCAGAAAATTTTTGTACTAGGTCTTATGTATATGCAAGGACATGATTTTTACAAATTTTAAAATGTTTTGCGACGAGAAAGTTATGATCATTTTAGTGTTTTCATCAAAATCCTTTAAAAAACTATATTTTTTGGCTGCTTTATTTTGCAAAAAATGTTCTGGACTATTTAAAATCAAATTTTTTTTTAATTTTCATTTTTAACATAAAAATCAGACCAATATGCAAAGAACAATACAATGTGATCTTAAACATTAGTTATCTAGAGGTAATTTTAAAATAGAAAAATACTAAAATGTTTATTTTAAATTTATTTTTTCTGTTTTTATATTAGATTATTTATTCACTTCAAGTTCGTAAAGCTATTCTTTATATTACTAAACTGTGGAATAAAAAATAACATTTTTAAATAAAAAGGATTTTTCTATATTCTTTACATTAAGATTTAGGAATTTGTTATATCTTCTTTACAGGATTCTTTAATTTCAACAAAGTTACAAACTTTGATTAGTTTTTCACTATCGACTTTTAGAGATGCCTTAAGCAATACGCAATTACACAATTCTTTAGTTTTTTACTGTATTCTGGATGACCCAAATTTCGTTTGTAAGCACCAGTTTTCCATAGCCTGCTGTAATGTAAGCTCCAGTTTTTCATAGCCTGCTGAAATCTTATGAACTGATTTGAATGCTTGCTCACTCCAAAACCCAAGACTTCTTAAAAAATATTTTCGTAGAGTTTGAGGAAGTCTTTGCTGGGTAATATTATGCTTTTCAGCCTGTTTGTCAATAAACTCAGGTAAGTGCTTGATGAACTTTAGGTGTAGTTGAAATTCCAAGTGCTCTTTTAAAAGAAAGTATAGAGTCACTATAAGAGGAAATTAGAACATTCCCAAAGCATTTCTGCCTGACTGCATTCAATGTTTTAAATCCAGAAATAAGATTTTCTCGTTCATTTCCAATTTCGGCATTTGCAAGCAAATTTTCTAGAAGCCCAACATTGTTTAGGAGATGCCTACATTGGCTTCCATTGAATTCTTCTCTATGGATTGGTGACCTGTAGATGCTTAGTTTATTTGACCAGTCAGTAGCTTTCAAAAAACAAGAATTGGTTTTGCTAAGGATAGTTATCAAATGATCAAATAGCCTGTTGGTACTTCCTAAAACCCTATGCAATTCCATGATTGGCAAAATATCAAGAATTTTTGTTTCATCTGGAAGATCAAGTAGAGGTAGGTTCATGTAACTTTTGTAGTTTGCTGCCCAGAGCTCCTATTTTTTTGAATGAACACTGAAATCTTTCTGATAATTATTGGCTTTGGATCTAACCCTTCCAAGTGTCTTTAACTGCCCTATCATTTCTTGGTTTCCGAAATCTTTCTTTGAAGTTTCACACCAAGGACATGAATATGTGGATGCAGCTGAGCCTAATCCAAGAAAAGCATTTGCAAGTTTAATGTCCACAGCTGCAGTAAAAGCAACACTTTCAAGAAAACTCTAGAATTTGTTTCAAGTTCTTATAAGATTCTTTCACAGACTCAACAATTGCCAAGATCATGAGTTTTTTCACTCCTGAGTCACCAAAGGCTTGAGAAGATTTTTTTTGAAAATTCTTTTGAATAAGAAAACTTATGCTTTGTTTGTTCTTTTTGGCTATCCAATTATATTCATACAAACATGGCTATCCATTACATTCATACAAACCTTGAGAATCCTTCCACCTCCATCAATGTCTACTTTGATCATATAATCCTCTGGTGGACGCTCTCGATGGTCAAGGATGTGTTCAACCAATCCAAAAATGTTATTACAAAAAATAACTGAACGCTGAGCTTTTCTACTTTATTCATTACCATTGGAAACATCAAAGTCCGTTATTGTAGAATTGTAGAATAAACCAAGTGTTTTGTTTCGTTGAATTTTCCAACCAAACCTAATTCAATTGATTTGCAACCACTCCAAGTTCTGAAAAATTAGCTGTTTTGTGAGTTTTTATTAAAGAGAGACTTATAGTAGATTGCAATCTACTAATTTTCTCAGCAGACATTCGAACAGAAAAGCTCTTGATTTTTGAGTACTGACACTTTTTATGACTGTTAAATCCCTCCCTTTTGTTGCTAAAATAACTATTGAGCCTCCATCTTCAGTTGCTGCAAATTTCATTTCGATTACACCAGAAGCAATAATTTCTGCAAACTGGAAGCTTGGTCAATAATTGTCTGAAGATTTTCTCTTGCTGCTCAAACTGTACAAAGGTTTGTATGTGGTATTCCACGACTAACTGGCTGCCAACAGCGCTGGCACACTTTAAATGGCCCACAAGGTGGTAAAAAATTTTCGGCTGCTACAGGAGGTCTTCCTACTTGGAAAAGAACAGCCTTAGCTGATGCTTAGCTTATTCCAATAGGATTAAAACGGGCAACTTCACAAATAAGGCAACAGCAAAAACGATTTAATCTTGTCAGAGTCGTAAAAATAACTTTGGAAAAATCAAAAGCG